GGGGGGGGGGGGCATTTTTTTTGAAAGGCACCTTTCTGTGAGATAATCTATTAGGGGGGGATAGCAATGGCTAAAGGCCATGAATAGGCGCAAGGGTCTGGGGGCATATTCCCCCAGCAAATTTTTGAAATTTGAACCCGGAAATGCCAAGGGGGGACTGGGGGCATCCCCCCAAGCTTGCATGTTAAAAAGGCCCTGCCGGAAGAGTGATAAATATGACAACAGTCGATAACAACTTGGAGTAGTAGCTACAATCTTGGACATAACTGGTTGAGACTATTTTCCCCCTATACAAAATTCGCGTATTTTTATGATAAACTTTATGAATCATGTTGCCATTCTTAAACCCCCGCTCCCCAAACTCAATGTTGAGCTTGTATCATGGTATATTACCAAAAGTTGTTTCGGCGTTGTTCACAACATTGAACTGGGGGAGACAAAGTTTGTTTTGTCAATGTTCAATAACTCTGTAATATTAGCTGGAAAGGTCTCAAGGGTTTTGTCCAAGATTGTAGGTACTGAGGTCCACATCTTTTAACAGGTAGAGTACCTCAGAAACACTTCACATGGTGGCCAGGGGCCCCCTTAGGCTTGGCGGCCCCCGGATTCGCCCGCGGTCTGAGCCCTTAATAGTTACGCCACTGATTTAACTTCCGCCCACCGCTACCTCTGCCTCACTAATTAATACGTACGTGTCTGATTGGTTGATCGGATAAATCAAGCGCATCTGATTGGTTGATGGCCTTTATTGGTAGCGGTAGTCGAAATGAGTTTAACCAGGCAAGCAACCAACATTTTTGTGAACAGGGACGTCACGCGAAAATTGGTACAACTAATTTTGGCTCAAAGTATATGCTCACAGACTCAGTTCAGCTCACAGACTCAGCTCACAGACTCACCTCAGACCTCTGTTTTGTCCATGCTAAAAAACCTCGGTTTGATATTTCACAGTACAGACCTCGCGCTCGGTCAATAAGCTGTTATTACTTAGTTTATTGCGCACGATTTCACATCCTTCAGTCTGGCTTAAAAAACATGCGCATAATTGTAGTACGATAATTCCTTCTCACGCAAACTCTCACCACCTATACTAACCTCTGAATAAGCAGTGAATAATGACGTTTTCCAACTAGTATTATACATTACGCCTAAAGGCAACCATGGTTATTAGAGCACTCAAAAGATTAAAATCATACCTCACACAACCAGTTTTAATTCAGATTTATAAGTCGTTAAATCAATGACATTTTGAATATTGTAGCGATGTCTGGGACAGCTTAGGCTGGGATTCGCGTAAATATTAATATAAGGCTATTTAAAGTACATTTAATAAAATGGTCGTCAGCATGAAATAGCATGGTGTGACACTGATCCTTTAAGGTGGCTCAATACAGTTTTTAAAAAGATAGAAAATTCACGATTTAGATGCGTATTTTTGGACAATTATTACTTGTTGATAAACAAAAAGTACCTTACTTATATAAAACAACATCTAAATAGTGTGAATTTTTGCACAAAAGTTACGCAGCTGCCGTTGCTATGGCAACAATAACGTTTCAAGATGGCGGATATTTTGGCTTTAAAGGCGCAGTTCAGCCTTTTGATTGATGGTTTTTAAGGAGCATTACAAGCCTTTTAATTGAAAAAAACTAACTAGGAAAATCAATTAAACAGAAGTCAAGATCAGTGATTTCAATGTTCTTACCATTTGTAAACATTTCTAATGTTAAAAACATTGAGTTCACTGATTTTGAATTATGCTTAATTGATTTTCCTAGTTAGTTTTTTCAATTAAAAGGCTGGTAATGCGCCTTAAAAACCATCCTTCAAAAGGCTGAACTGTGCCTTTAAAGTAATTTAACTCGTGAACGACATCGGTGACCCCCAAATTTTATTTTAAAAATGATTTTTCTTAGTATATTGAATTACGTTGACAATTTAAAAATTCTGTCAATTCATTTTTTAAAATAAAATTTGGGGGTCACCGATGTCATTACGAGTTAAATTATTTTAAAGTCAAAATATCCGCCAGTTTGAAACGTCATTGTTGCCATACCAACGGCAGTTGCGTAACTTTTGTGCAAAAACTCAAACTCTTTAGATGTTGTTTTATATAAGTAAGGTACTTTTTGCTTATCAACAAGTAACAATTGTCCAAAAATCTAAATCGTAAATTTTCATTTTTTTAAAAACTGTATTGAGCCACCTTAAGATCAGATTGGGCCTTATGCATGCAGTCTTTCATAAATATATATTATCGTTTTTTATTGCAATGTAATACAGTAAATAAGATTATAAAGTTAATCTCGCCCGACCTATTGTTGAAAGAGTATTCATACATCATCTAGATCTGGATTCCTTTCATCAAAGCTACTCGCGACGTAACCTGACGTACCGGCACCATTCTCATCATGAACTATTGCCCCAGGTGTTGCCTGCTCAAAAGAATCATCTCGGGGAATTAAACGCCATTCAGCATCTCTATTCTTGCAACAACAGCAAAAATAACAACAACAACTTTTATTTTCGCGATCATTTGACGCAGGTGGGCCGTTTACTTTATCCATAATAATCCGTGTGAGTCCTCCATCTTTTAATTTTTCCTTATCCCCAGTTTTCACTGTAATAGGCACGACGAGACCCATCATTGCACAGAAGTCGTTTGGTGGCTTTTCTATAATTTCACAAAGTGTTTTGTAAAAGCGTTTTATTTCGTCTTCGTAAGTATTATAGTCTGTTCGGAATTTCATATTTCTCAAGGCCATTATAGGCTCTTTGACGCATAGCATGGCAAAACATTCCTTCTCATAACCTGTGAAGTTATAAACAGGAAACGGGTAAGGGTTCCGTTCATCATCTTCGTTAAATTCCGTAATATTTCTGTCGTAGGAAGTCAATATCTTAATGTTCGTCAGATCTGTGCTGGGGGGTAAGAGCAAAAGCAGTTTATTCCGGGATAATTTTATAATTTCATTTACGCTTGGGGCAGACGAACTGGGCTCAATTTGAAGCTTTAGTATTGCACGGTTAAATTTTTGCACTTCTGGTTTCAGGTGATTGAAATAATATGACCACGCCAGAGTGTGAGCATGATACATCTGCCTTTCCTCCAGAATTATTGATACATCAACTTCGGAACCTGTGTTGAGGTTAAGCAAGTGTATTACAAGCGGGCCAACACCGATTCCGCCCAAGATATAAATTATATCTACAAGCTGAAATCCTGTTTCTCTCCCGATCGTGCAAGCTACACCGACGATCAGACATACAGCAGCGACTGCAGGCAGATTGATTCCACTGAAACAAAATTTAAATAGCTTACAAATGTCTCTGTTGTAACGACTTTTGAACTGAAAAAGTTCTCCAATAACAAGGGACAAGCGACCAACAACCGTGCCAAGTATGATACCCGTCAATCCTAATCCAAGGTTAAAAAAAACTGGATAAGTTGTCTTTTCTTTCATTGTGTAACATGCAATTGTTCCCGTTTTGATCTTTGCCAATTTAATAGTGAAGTTATCATTATTAGGTTCATATTCGATTACTGTTTTCTCCAGGAAACCGTAAGTAATTATTCCTGCAGCAGTCAATAAGCATATAAGGAACGAGGTTACTCTAGGACACTTTCTTTTCTTCGGCGGGTTTTCCCAATTAATGCCGTCATCTGGTGTTTGACAAGTTGGTTGAGGGTCCACGTTTTGTTGTGGATTAGGCCTATCGTCCGTCATCATAAAGTGCTGGTCAACTCTCGTAGCCTAAAATCTGAACGTTTGAAACAAGAGACGTTAAAGAGAGTGTGCGAGTCATTCAACCATTACCCGGGAATAGTTGTAACCTATGTGGTGATATCGTCACACTTGTCAAATCAAGATGAGTAACATAGAGTACCATTGGTGCGCTATGTTGCCACTTGCAATTAAATGGCGGCATACTTTGATACCCGCACCAGACTCGGACTCGAAAAAACGCCGGACTCGAAAAAATCCTGCAATCGTCCACAAAATATATTGAGACTTTTTGAATCACTCCCCTTTCCCCTTAGTGAAAGCCTATTGTACTTATCCAAAACGAACATAAGATGACACTAGAACGGCAACCGTGTCACTGGCAGTT